CGAGGAGTACTACGTACCTGGTCAATCTGTCAGATGACAAAGTCGACAAACCCGTATATTGTTTTAACATGATGGTAGGATTGACTGTGTCTTTTGTCTGTCTCATACATATGCAAATTTAAGGTAGCTTAGCCACTAACCTACGCACCTTAGGCACACTACACATACGTGTACAAGCATATATATACACACCCCTCTGGGTTTTCTTCTATTTTCTTTCTAATTCTTGTTCTTGTTTATTTCCTCTTATCTCCATGGGGAAGTGGAACAGAATTCTTCCTCTGTAAGCCATGCGTGTCGTAAGAGGCGACTAAAATGCCGGGAGCAAGGGGCTAGTAACCCCTTCTCCTGTATATATTACTAAATATAAAAGGAGAAACTTTAGTTTTTTCATTTGGGCCACCCTATCTCGGTGGGATATGGCTGGTATGTTGAAAGAAGAAGAAAGAAGTCAAGGAGAACCTGCGTCAAAGATGGAACTTTCAGTGAGGAGGTCAGTAAGTGTGTGTTGAGGTGATGGACACGTGAGAGGAGGTCAGTAAGTGTGTTGAGGCGGTGGAGACGTGAGAGGAGGTCAGTAAGTGTTTGTTGAGGTGGTGGAGACGTGAGAGGAGGTCAGTAAGTGTTTGTTGAGGTGGTGGAGACGTGTGAGGAGGTCAATAAGTGCGTGTTGAGGTGGTGGAGACGTGTGAGGAGGTCAATAAGTGTGTGTTGAGGTGGTGGAGACGTGAGAGGAGGTCAGTAAGTGTGTGTTGAGGTGGTGGAGACGTGTGGGGAGGTCAATGTGTGTTGAGGTAGTGGAGACGTGTGAGGAGGTCAGTGTGTGTTGAGGTGGTGGAGACGTGTGAGGAGGTCAGTGTGTGAGGTGGTGGAGACGTGTGAGGAGGTCAGTGTGTGCTGAGGTGGTGGAGACGTGTGAGGAGGTCAGTAAGTGTGTATTGAGGTGGTGGAGACGTGTTAGGAGGTCAGTAAGTGTTTGCTGAGGTGGTGGAGACCTGTTAGGTCAGTGTGTGTGTTGGGGTGGAGACGTCGGAAGTGAATTCTTCACTCCCATTGACACAGGACGATCAATTAAACTATGATGAACTGACACTGGAATCTGACTGTCCCCTCAGTGCGGTGCTGGGCATTTTACCACAGATGTATCCATGAGTAAGTTGTGTGTTCAGTACTGAGGCGAGAGTGTAGTCTCCCAGGTGCAACAACAGTGGTCGTAAGAAGATGGTTTGACAGAAAGTAATTTATTGTGGACTAAATGAGACCACTATTTTTCCCATTGGCTGCAAAGTTGATGATGACAATATCAAATCTAACTAATCAATATATAATCAAACTAAGCGCTAATCCCAAAATGGTCATAGAGCGCTGCAGGGTGGGATGTCCTTAAGAGGGAATATATGAAGGCCAGAGACTAGTGTTGGGCAGGAGTATACACGAGTAAGTGTTAGTGGAGGTAGTGGACAGTGTTAAAAGTATAAGATAATGAAAGCTGGTGCAATAAGTTAGTTTCTGTTAAAAGGTCAGAGTGTCTGCGTTAAAGGAGGTCAAGCCAGTGAAGTTCATTTGAAGTTCTTTTCGTATTATTGTTAGCAGTTTAAGAACAATATGAAAAGAACTTCAGGTGAACTTCAGTGACGAGACTGGGGGAGACTGACAACAGTCAGTCATCATTCCATCATGCAGGAAACACATGTCCATTGTGCATCCAACCAAATTACCAGACTCTGACCGGGTCACTAGCATCTCTGACAGGTTACGTCACCTGCTGATGGAGACAAAACTAAATGTAAACTTGGCCAGGTGGACAATTATTGTCACAAGTTGCGTCGTTATGTGCCGGAATGTGATCAAATTTATGAATTCAGAAACAAGTCACTTACAAATGTTCAAGAAATATCAGAGTATTTTATTCAGTTATATTACTAATATTCCTTAGAAATACCCTGACTTTGCCTGTTGTAAATAATGCATAACCATTTAAATTTGTTTAACTTTCAGCACACCTTACTAAAATATAAGGTAATATAAATAATTCAGACTTACATTGTAACATTTTTGTGACTTCATTGATGTCTGCATAAATAACTCATTACAATTGTAACCAGATATAAACATGTAAAGAGTTCATTACTATTGTAACTTGTTCAGTGTTCAAAACTTTGTGGTACAGTTCCTGGACCCGTTATGTGCCTCTGTAATGTTGAGGTACAGTTCCTGGACCCGTTATGTGCCTCTGTAATGTTGAGGTACAGTTCCTGGACCCGTTATGTGCCTCTGTAATGTTGAGGTACAGTTCCTGGACTCGTTATGTGCCTCTGTAATGTTGAGGTACAGTTCCTGGACCCGTTATGTGCCTCTGTAATGTTGAGGTACAGTTCCTGGACCCGTTATGTGCCTCTGTAATGTTGAGGTACAGTTCCTGGACCCGTTATGTGCCTCTGTAATGTTGAGGTACAGTTCCTGGACCCGTTATGTGCCTCTGTGATGCTGAGGTACAGTTCCTGGTTCCGTTATGTGCCTCTGTGATGTTGAGGTACAGTTCCTGGACCCGTTATGTGCCTCTGTGATGCTGAGGTACAGTTCCTGGACCCGTTATGTGCCTCTGTAATGTTGAGGTACAGTTCCTGGACCCGTTATGTGCCTCTGTAATGTTGAGGTACAGTTCCTGGTTACCGTTATGTGCTCTTCTGAATGTTGAGGTACAGTTCCTGGACCCGTTATGTGCCTCTGTAATGTGAGGTACAGTTCCCTGGACCGTTTATGTGCCTCTGTAATGTTGAGGTACAGTTCCTGGACCCGTTATGGCCTCTGTAATGTTGAGGTACAGTTCCTGGACCCGTTATGTGCCTCTGTAATGTTGAGGTACAGTTCCTGGACCCGTTATGTGCCTCTGTAATGTTGAGGTACAGTTCCTGGACCCGTTATGTGCCTCTGTGATGTTGAGGTACAGTTCCTGGACCCGTTATGTGCCTCTGTAATGTTGAGGTACAGTTCCTGGACCCGTTATGTGCCTCTGTAATGTTGAGGTACAGTTCCTGGACCCGTTATGTGCCTCTGTAATGTTGAGGTACAGTTCCTGGACCCGTTATGTGCCTCTGTAATGTTGAGGTACAGTTCCTGGACCCGTTATGTGCCTCTGTAATGTTGAGGTACAGTTCCTGGACCCGTTATGTGCCTCTGTAATGTTGAGGTACAGTTCCTGGACCCGTTATGTGCCTCTGTAATGTTGAGGTACAGTTCCTGGTTCCGTTATGTGCCTCTGTGATGTTGAGGTACAGTTCCTGGTCCGTTATGTGCCTCTGTGATGTGAGGTACAGTTCCTGGTTCCGTTATGTGCCTCTGTGATGTTGAGGTACAGTTCCTGGTTCCGTTATGTGCCTCTGTGATGTTGAGGTACAGTTCCTGGTTCCGTTATGTGCCTCTGTGATGTTGAGGTACAGTTCCTGGTTCCGTTATGTGCCTCTGTGATGCTGAGGTACAGTTCCTGGTTCCGTTATGTGCCTCTGTGATGTTGAGGTACAGTTCCTGGTTCCGTTATGTGCCTCTGTGATGTTGAGGTACAGTTCCTGGTTCCGTTATGTGCCTCTGTGATGTTGAGGTACAGTTCCTGGTTCCGTTATGTGCCTCTGTGATGTTGAGGTACAGTTCCTAGTTCCGTTATGTGCCTCTGTGATGTTGAGGTACAGTTCCTGGTTCCGTTATGTGCCTCTGTGATGCTGAGGTACAGTTCCTGGTTCCGTTATGTGCCTCTGTGATGTTGAGGTACAGTTCCTGGTTCCGTTATGTGTCTGTGATGTTGAGGTACAGTTCCTGGTTCCGTTATGTGCCTCTGTGATGTCGAGGTACAGTTCCTGGTTCCGTTATGTGTCTCTGTGATGTTGAGGTACAGTTCCTGGTTCCGTTATGTGCCTCTGTGATGTTGAGGTACAGTTCCTGGTTCCGTTATGTGTCTCTGTGATGTTGAGGTACAGTTCCTGGTTCCGCTATGTGTCTCTGTAATGTTGAGGTACAGTTCCTGGACCCGTTATGTGCCTCTGTAATCTGACTACCACCCACAGGATGGTTATGAGGTGCATAATACAGATATTAAATTAAGTGCAGTAGGACTGTGGAGATATCGGATGTGAATTCTGCATGACTGCTGATAGACAGGACAGTCTATTAAAGGATGGTGAACTGACAACTTAGCCTGGCAACCCTTACACAGCCTGGCAACCCTGCACAGCCTGGCAACCCTGCACAGCAGTGTCAGGTGTTTTCTGTAAGATGACTTAAAAAAAATATTTAAAAAAAGTTAAAGTTCTTTATTTCTGTGTTGATATTATAATGTGGGGTTTAAATATTATAAAATATTATTGCATATTATAAAATACTTATTATAAAGAAGGCCACTAGTATGCCTAGGCATTTCGGGCAGACTAATATACTAATTCCTACTCTATATTGACACAGGTAATGGATCATACCGAGGTGTGAGTGTCTTTATTGACGAAATATTTCTCCTACATAGTAGACTCCTTCAGTCAAATACAAAGGGAACAAAGATTTGTTAAATTATACCATGAATTAAGGAAAGATCCTAGACTTCACCTTACGACACAAACAATGCGATAATAATTATGGACAAGGTAAATTATAGTGGAAAATGAACATGTTATTAGAAGACGGGGGAACTTACGTGCCTCTTCAAGTTGTCGGTATTTTATACTATTTTCAACAACACTTACGTTCTTACCAAGGCTTATTCATTGGGCAGCATCGAAAATGGGTTGGGCAAATATTTTTGATATTGGGTTTGGGCTTGAGAAGGCCCTGCCTAGTATTGAGTAAGACGTGCCTAGTATGGGCCAATAGGCCTGCTGCAGTGTTCCTCCTTTCTAATGTTCTTATGTAAACAATGGGATACCTTCCTCAGAGAGCGCAGCGACAGAAATGCATGTATTATTGAAGAGATCAAGTGGCAACAACATCGTAGTCAGATGAAAGGTCTGGTTGGCAGCTGGCAGGTTCAGTCTTGGTCCAGCCGGCCACCAGGTAGGAGGTCTTCTCTGCGCTCCGTCTCTCTTAACTTTCACTACACCCTCTAACACTTTCAAATTCAGTGCCCCTTTGGATATTAGTTTTAAGTAAGCACCTGTAGTCTAGTTATTAACACAAGGTGTGTTTTCCTTGCTCTCAAGCTTAGTCAAATTAAGTTTGACGCAGTTAAAACTTTTAGCCGCCAAAACTTTTTTAACCGGAGATTTTAAGTTGCCGTTTAAGATTTTTTTTTGTAAGTTTATTTTTTTCCATTGGTTTTGTGTTGGATTTTATGTATGTTAGGTTTTTGTTGTATTGTGTGACTATTCTACTCCAGCTGCAGCATAAATACTTATGTTACCATTCTGACGTTCATCTGAGGTACTGACACTACAGCATCAGTGCTGATACCACAATACTGACACTACAGCATTAATGCTGACACCAACAGTACTGACACTACAGCATCAGTGCTGATACCACAATACTGACACTACAGCATTAATGCTGACACCAACAGTACTGACACTACAGCATCAGTGCTGATACCACAATACTGACACTACAGCATTAATGCTGACACCAACAGTACTGACACTACAGCATCATGCTGCACCACATACTGACACTACAGCATTAATGCTGACACCAACAGTACTGACACTACAGCATCAGTGCTGACCACAATACTGACTACAGCATTAATGCTGACACCAACAGTACTGACACTACAGCATCAGTGCTGATACCACAATACTGACTACAGCATTAATGCTGACACCAACAGTACTGACACTACAGCATCAGTGCTGATACCACAATACTGACACTACAGCATTAATGCTGACACCAACAGTACTGACACTACAGCATCAGTGCTGACACCAACAATACTGACACTACAGCATCAGTGCTGACACCACAATACTAACACTACAGCATCAGTGCTGACACCAACAGTACTGACACTACAGCATCAGTGCTGACCCCACAATACTGACACTACAGCATCAGTACTGACACTACAGCAGTGCTGACACCAACAGTACTGACACTACAGCATCAGTGCTGACACCAGCAATACTGACACTACAGCATCAGTGCTGACACCAGCAATACTGACACTACAGCATCAGTGCTGACACCAACAATACTGACACTACAGCATCAGTGCTGACACCAACAATACTGGCGCTACAGCATCAGTGCTGATACCAATACTGACACTACAGCATCAGTGCTGACGCCAACAATACTGACACTACAGCATCAGTGCTGTCACCACCAACAGTACTGACACCACACCAGTAGTACTGACACCACAGCAACAGTAAAAGGGCAAGATGGCGGGAATACATTCAAGAAACAGTCGGATATGGGTGGAGGGACAAATAAATGCCCGGTCCTGGACCGGGCCGCGGGGCGTTGACCCTGGAAACTCCCTCCCGGTAGACTCCAGGTAGCAAAATTTGAAATTTTAGACGGCGGCCGAGTGTTAGAGATTCGACCCAACATGCACAATTAGGTGAATACACCTAGAACAGGGGTGGGAGTGTACACAAGCAAAATAGTATGAGAGAAGTGCGGTGCACTCAAGCTCTGGGTTAAAAATAGAAGGGAAGTTAGGAAGAGAGAAGTATAGTTAAACCAGAATATCAGGCATCAACTCCCTGGATATATATAACTAGGATAGTACATACCTAGGAGATGACTAGGATAGTGCATCTGCAGTTCATGGGTAGGATGACACACCCTAAACATTTGGATAGTACTCACGCAGGATATGATTGTTGCAGGTACATGATATATCATGTATATACAATACCGACAAGTTCATACGTAAGGCACATGAGCAACACTATCAATCTATTGACTAGACGTTTCGCCTGCGCTGCAGGCTTTGTAAGTCGAATACAAAGATGAATGACACTCCTGGAGATATCAGCGTTTATGGGAGACAAAGTAAGCGAAGTGGAGATGTAGTTTGATGTAATCAGTTCGCCAGCCTAGGTGCACGGTGATCAGCCTTAAACTAAAGCAGAGGCAACTGATACTTGTCTGACACTGCAACACGATGGTATGTGAATAAAGGGTTTAGACTTGTGCAGCGGGTATCTTTATTCAGGAAACGTTTCGCCAGCCAGTGGCCTCTTCAGTTCAGCGCAGAAGGTGAAAGATGAGGAGTTGGAGGTAATCAGTCCCTCAGCCTGGAGTCGATATGTTCGATCTGATGAACTGAACACAGTGACTCCAGGCTGAGGAACTGATAACCTCACACTACTCATCTTCCACCTTTCTCTGCATTGGACTGAAGAAGTCAGTGGCTGGTGAAACTTTTCCTGAATGAAGATACCCAGGATGTTATCTTGGTAAAAGAGATGTCTTCAGCAGCTGTTGCTAACACTTGTTTAGCACAATGGTTCTCATCCTATTTTGGGTCTCGGCTTCTCTATCGCAGATACCCCTCATCTCCACGCTCCCCTTTGCATAAAATTCTAAGTGTTAAAACTAAAAGAAGTCCTTTATTTAAATATGAAAATTGAGAAAGTAGTTTTCATTCTTAACTTTATTATGTTTAACTGTTCAAAAGAGCTTAAGGATAAACTCGTAAATGAACGAAAGTATTCTTTATTGTTGCTCTGGGTTCCCTCCCCCCTGGAAATTACTCAAACCCGAACCACTGGTTTAGCATAACTTGCTGCCACTAGCGGCCCAGCTCACCTGTGACCTCATCTTCAAGCTGCTACACATCGCTTCCTGCATAAAAGCCTCTGGCTAACTACTGCTTTAGTCTAAGAGACTGATTATCTTGCATCTAGGGTGATGGACTGATTACTTCAAACTACATTTCCGCTTTATCTGCTTTGTCTTCCACCAACGCTGATATCTCTAGGAGTGTGATTCATCTCTTATACTGATGAAGCTGCAGCGCAGGCAAAACGTTTCGTCAATAAAGATTCCTAGTGCTGCACTTGCCTTAATTATCATGACTATTACAGCACATGCAAAACATGACTAGGAAAACACACATACTCAGGGCATGACAAGGATAGCACATGCAGGGCGTAACCAGGATAGAACACAATACGTACATGTACAGGATAGCATTCATGATATGACTAGGATACGACACGGATTTCACTAGGATTCGACACTCAGAACTAGGACACTCTCTCTCTCTCTCTCTCTCTCTCTCTCTCTCTCTCTCTCTCTCTCTCTCTCTCTCTCTCTCTCTCTCTCTCTCTCTCTCTCTCTCTCTCTCTCACGCACACATGCATGAGAAAACATGTAACTGGCAGTAGTGCTAAGAATGCATGTAAGATGCCAAATGTTCTCACACACGTACACACACCACGCAAACAGGTAATTACATGAACAGCCACATATAGGTTAAAAAATACGATAAAATAAACAATAGATGTCTTAGCGTCATCAACAGCTCTGTTCCTGTAGTTATAAACAGCTAATTAGACGTTCACTTTAATTAGTAAATATCATAGGGTTTAGGAAATTAGAAAATAATGCCGGTCGATTGTTGTTTTATGAGGGCGAAGCCTGGTGAAATGACCCGATCCCCGGTAAAATAAATCGTAAAGTGCAGTGTGGTGTCTACACCTAATTTAGTATTCATATATTAGCTGGATAGCTTCCAGAGATTTGCAAACGAGCCTAGACTCAGAATAGGAAAATATTCTAAGAAGAGTCCAAAGAAACTGAATCTCGCATCATTGAGAAAGTGAAGAATTAGTAGAGATATAATAACTACTCGGTCATTGGCATAACAGAGACCGGCATCAGATAGAACAAGGGGTCAAATGACAACTAAAATCCCATAAGAACCACGGGAATGTTACGAATACTTACTTCAGTTTAAGTGTAGTGAAACGTTAACCGAGCTAGATGAGGAGGTGGTGGAAGTGCAAATTTCATACATAATTTGTGTAAATATGATTGTTTTGAGGATGCTGGGAACGAAAAAGTCAATGGTTGCTTGTTAATAAAGAGGCGGGAGCAGTAGACTCACCCTACGCACTCACCGGTTTCCTTTAACCATACATAAATAGTTCCCGTGGCAGTCTATGGGAACGTGCCTCAGACATCTCAAGTTTCATTATATAAATATAACACTTTAGGCATATAGGTTATTTTGTCTTTCTCAAGTGTCGGGTGTCAACTGTTGAGAGGAACACTATTTAATAACTTGAAATTGGAGAACATTATAGTGGTTTAAAAATATTAAGAGGAATTATATTAATCTGAACAGTTTTATCAAATCACTAATAAAAGCGGCAGTAATAAGATTGATAATGACTACGAGGTATGGGATGCAGTACTCGCCTAGTTGTGGTTGCAGGGGTCGAGTCATAGCTCCTGGCCCCGGATATAATATGGCCGTGTGATATAATGTGAAAGTTAGTTATGTCGATGATGCTCAGTTATGTGGGTACGGGGTATGAATCTGTATTTTTTTATGTTAAATCATATCTGTAAATACAGTGTATGGGGTACGTAAATAGATGTGGATAATAACAGTACTGCAGTAGGCCTACTGACACATACTAGACAGGTCCTAATTACACCTGAACATATGCAGTTCATCTGTCAAATCCATTTTTTAAACTATTCAAAGCATTCGCTTTGAGTAGTTTTAAAAATGGAAAAACTGCTTACCCGGCAGTGTGTTTCACTCGCCTGCAATTCTTGCTAAACCAGTGCTTTCCTATTTATTTTTCCAAACTGCTTAGGCAGCGGAAATACTGTTGGGAGTTTTATCTTAGATGTTTTAAGTACCATATTTAAATATATATCCTTTATGCCTGTCTTCCACTTTGTACACTTTTAGTCATATCCCACTTTCAAGAGAGTGTAGGTTCAGTGTTCTTAATTTATCCTATTATGGCGGTCGACCATGTGTGGGTGTGTGGAGTTAATGATGTAACCAAGGCTAATATATCCCATACAGCGTGGTGCAGGATATGGTTGCAAACATTAGTTATGTGGCTACAGGGTGGTGC